TTCAAACTGAAATTAATGCTGATGATGTACTTAATTCAGAGATGTTAGATATTCTGGAAGAACTAAATGACGAAATTAACAGTACTATTGAATATACTACACAATCAACGATTCAAACAGAATTTAGTACTGAAGAAAGTTCAACTGATCCCATTATTACTTTGGAAGATAAATTTGAATTTGACGCATTAGATGATGATAATCAATTCAATACCACAGAATTTGAGGTTGATTTGAAAGATAATTCGTATAGGAATAGTACAGATGAAGCTTCAACTAATCCTATTTCTAGTTTAGAGAATGAAGATGCGTTTGAAGCATTAAACAATGATAATAATTTCAATACCACAGAATCTGTTTTTGAGAATGTTTCACAAGATAAAGCAGAGAGCAATAGCACTGATACAATTTCAAAACTTGATGAAGAAAACGTCGTTGAAGATATAGAATATTCTTTATTAACAACACAAGCTAATCTGAATGCAACAGTAGAAGATTCTTCTATTGAACTGGAAAATTCGAATAATAGTTTATTAACCACACAATCTACAATGCACGTTCAAACCGAATTAAAAATTCAGAACGAAACTGACGTTGCTTTGAATGAAAAAGATAATTTGGAAAAACCTGATGAAATTAGCTTCGATACAGTTGATTTAGAGCAAGGTGCAACAACAGACGACACTTTATTAACTACACAAGTTTCTTTGGATATACAAACAGAATCTGATCAAGAATCAATTGAAATTAACGAATTAGTTAATAGTTCCAATCCAGATGAGAAATTAGAAAATCAAAATGAATTGGTAGAAACAGATACTGAAAAAATAATTGATATTTCATTAAGTGAATCATCGTCATCAATGAATGAAACAGTAATTGATAATTCTACAGAATTGAACAACGTTACAAATTCAGTAATTTTGGAATCTGACACAACAGACAATATTTTATTGACTTCACAATCTGAATTGGAGGAAGCACAAACGCAAGTTGATATTGACGAAGTTACCACAAAAATTGTTGATGAATTCGAAAAACAAAATATTGATTTACAGTCTGGATTGATAGACAACGCTTTGTTGACTACTCAATCTGTAGTTGACGTTGAAACAGAATCTCAGAAATTGTCAGGTTCAGAACAAAATACAATTTCAATAAATGAAATATTGGAAACAACAACTCAAATTTATAATAATATGGGTGGGATTGTGGAGGAAGTAACGACTGGCATTAATAATTACGACTTTAATTCAACTGAAGAGATTATAACTGAAGAAACATCTCCGAACACAATTGAAACCGTGGAAACATCTACTTACGTTGATGTAAATGAAATATCAACAGAATCAGTCACAATTGTTAAGGTACAAGAACTGGAGAAGGAATTTGTGGAGAAAAACAAAGAAAGTGAAACAGGTAATGAAGATGTAAATTCTTTAGAAAATGTCAAAGAAATGATCAATAAGTACAATTCTTTAGAAACAGAAAGTGATTCGCAAAACGTTGATGTGTTGAAAGAAGTAGATTTTGAAAACGAAGAGAGTTTTATTGATATTATGCATTCGTCGGAAGACGAGTGGAATGCAAATAAAGATCTCTTTACTACACGGTCTTCAACAGTGGTCACGGAAAATGTTGATGAAGATAAAATGTTTACGTTAAGTGAATCTGTTGCCGAAGAAATAAATCCCATTGTTGTCGAAAATGAGATGGAAATAGAATCGGATCGAATTTCAGGAACTACAGGACGCGTTGAAACATCCACTTCGGAGAGTTTACATACAGTAGAGACGGAATTAAACTTGAATAACAAGGAAGAAGTTGATGATTTATCGGCAGAGGAAACGGGAATAGATAAGGTTATCGTGGATAATGATTTGGAGGAGGAAGACGTGGCGAATACTACTGAGCAGGCTTCAAACAAAAGAATTCATCAAGAAGTTGTAACAAAAACCGTGCCCATCGAGGAATCAACAAAGAGTAGTGTGGTAATCGATGAGAGTGATGAAGCAGATATTACGAGTTTGAATAATGCGGAGAGCAGCGAAGACGAAACCCGATCCTCAACGGAACTCGAAACGGTTATACCGATTGAAAATAATGGGCGTTTTATCTTCGATTTGCTTACGACCACTGTTACCCCTTTGTACGAGGAAACAACAGATTCTCCCACCGAGAAACCAACAAAAGACCGCCTGTCCGAAGAGAAAATTAATTTGGACGAAGAAATAATTTCGCCAGAAGTCGAGAAAACGACCGATCACACTTCAACTACGGACAAATCAATTGACATAAAAAATGATGCAGTGTTCTATAACATAAATCTAAAGCCAATTTCAAATAACGACAGGCATAATATCCTGTTGAATTTGAAGGAGGAATCTTCGAGCAGCGACGAAATCGTAGATTATTTAGAAACAATATCCGAAGACGGTGATTATATTAAGGAAACCGGCGATGATTCCGAGGAAATATCCAACGATAAATTGGACGAGATCTTTAATTACTCGGAAGAATTCGAAGAAACCCTGAACGAGATCGAAGAAATTTTAGAGGAAAACTCTGAAGACGCTCCGTACATAACCACCACCGTATCGAACCACAACAAGCAACAATGTTTGAGCCTCAACATCTCGATGTCAATAAAAATCAACGTAAGTTAATTTCGTTAAAAACAAATCGAGAAACTAATTTCATTTTTGATTGCAGGAAACGAACATCGTCGTACCAGATACCGCCAAGATATCGGGCAACTGTTCGGAATATTTCATCGTCAGTTGGAAATCTGCCTTCGATCCAGCGGAAAACAACTCAATTCACTTCAACCTGATTCGCAAAGATGATTGCGTGTACTTGCAATCGATAGGTGTGCACGTGATGAAGGATGATGGAGGTATAACACTTTAATAACTAATAACCATGAGAACGATGAATTAATTTTGCAAATTTTTCAGAGTCATTTATTGATGAAGCAAATGACGATTTGAACCTGGACGCGGATGACACCAATTACGTTATGCTGAATAACGGCTTGAGCGTACAACTTGACATGTCCTTGAAGAGGAAAAACGTTGCTTTAGGTGAGTGCTTTTCGATTGCCGGTTTCCACCTTACATACAAGTGAGACTAATTTGCTGACTGTTTTGTTCCTTTTCACAGAGAAACCGACTACTCTGAAATCAACGAACACTTTGGCATTGCAAATAACATCGGGGATTGCTTCCATTTTAATCCTGCTGGTCGTCGTCGGAGTGTTTATCTATCGCAGACATAGGGGACAGACGAGAATATTAAAAGTGACAATAGATAAGTAGACTCAAACAGGAGCATTAAATTAATATATTGTGTACATACTAAAGATAAACAACATCTTCGCAATTCTCAAGCGACCGCTCATATAGATATATATTATTTTTTATTATTATTTCATAAATGTTTTTATATTTTCGTTTTTTACATTTTAATAAATATCGATCGTATTATGTAAGCAATGTTCGTTTTATTGCTCAATTCTTCGCGCGTCAATACAATTATTGACGTGGATGTATGTTTGAGGCATACACATCATCATCATCATTATATATTTAGTTGCACGATATAAATATATCCAGCACTTGTTGTATACATCTTTGTTGAATGCGGTCACATTGCAGTGGAATCGTCCACGAATGCGGTCACGTTAAAATATCTCTCTGCAGTCACTCTAGTATTCACGTGCCATTAAATATGTTTATTGAATATCATCAATATTTTAATAAACGACTTTCTAATAATATAAACTAATGTTGTTTAAATGAACAATATAACAATCATATTTACAATAAATTAATTAAGATCTAAAGAATCCACATTTGTATACCGATCACATTAAATAATAATGAATCGAATTTATATACATTTTCGAACTAAATCCTGAAATATTGTGACACTTTTCTTGTTCGGTGAACCGCAACGACTCGCATCTAATTGGTCCCGCTGGATTGCGTGAAACTGGACTCTTCGTAGAAATAAGTGTATTGAAAGAATGTTTTAATGGTTCTAAGAAATCTTTGAAAATTATCGATATAAATAATGGCGATTTAATGATTAATTAGATAATTAAATTAATAATTAAACTGCATATAATTTTCTTAGCAAATTTCTAATTGCATTCTCTATCAATGTAAACTTGATTTTTCTATCGCTTACATAGTTCATTGACTTCTGTTGCTCTTTTTCCGGTTCTAACGTAATTTCGAATAACATTAGGAAATGAATCATGGGATTTTTGTTGTTGAAATATTCTGAAAATGTATCTTTAATTGTCGTACGGCACGTGGCCAATTCTTCCTTTCGACAAAGGAAGTTCATAATACAGGAAATCACCTACACGTGATTTTGGAACTGTGCTTTAGTCAAAGTACATTTTTCAATTGAATATTGATAGTTTTTCTATTTAAAACAGAAGATTATAGTGGATTATAGTGGATTAAATGATTGTAGTTAATCCCAATTTCTACTTAATCTAAACAAGATTAAAAGTTTTCACTTGCACATGTAGTTATTTGCTCATATTAATAAGTGAATTTGTATTTAATTGGCTTTATTACATTTAGTTTGTTCATAATTTTGTGTAACTAAAATCGAAATACAATATACAAATATAATTCCATTAATAACATGTGTAACTTCAACTTGTTGAGTGATCTAAACAAATATATTTAAATATTGTTTGATTAAAAAAAAGTAGATTAATTTTGGTATAAAATGCTAGTTTACAATTTACCAAACACATCAAGAAGCCTCCATGAAATATGCATGTTTGTGTTAATATAACAATTGAAAAGCTGTGGTGTGTCAAGCACTGATCTCTAAGTATTTCTAATCCATCATGTTCCAGTCCATTTACGATGATTTTTATTTATATATCAGGGTTCCCTTTTTTTACATTACAATGACACGTCAAGGTAATACACCTATGTTGTTGTTATGCTGGTTTTAAACAGCTGTCGACCTATATCTTCTGCCCGTGGCCTACAAGAAACCACGAGACGCGTACGTCTTATTACAAATTTATTATAACGAAGTATAGATTTTATTCTCCCTTGCATCAATTATTATTATTATTATTGTTGTTGTTGTTGTTGTGGGTGTGAATTAAGAATGAAATGTATATTGGTAATTCTGTTCCGCTGTATGAGCAGAAGAGGATCAGCTTTCATTCGATGATGGTGAAATTAAATAAAAATGCATGATATAATGATAGTGCAGGTGTGAGTTTTGAGGTACATCATTAGCTGTATTGTTATCGGGCGCGTTTGTCACTCGTGCCATACGCGCGCCCCTATCCTCACTATACGCTGTCATTAAATTATTTCGAGTGATGGGACGAAGGGTTTTTTTTAACCAAAATTCAGCTGTCCGAAAATGAAAAAGACATGTCAACAGAAAAACACATATATATATGTATGCAGCTTTCGGCGTATAAATGCAAACAAATGTTAATCATTTCAAAAGCGCGCAAAATTCATTATAACTCGTGCAGTTATGCAATGTAATTGATTGTACGATGGGTTGCATATAACCCACCACTTGGAAAAACATATACAGGCGGTTCTGTTTACGCGAATGAAAAACGCGTAAAGTTTTCAAGTACAAAAAAATATAATAGAAACAAAAGTTATTATAAGTTTTGGAAATACATATTTATTGCATAAAATAATGATAACATTTCAGAAGACAATAATAAATTTAGGAAGTAACCGTGACGTTACTTTTACGTGTTCTAACTTTAAATTAATAACAAATTTTATTCAAACTTTTTGAGTTATTGGAGGATGATTAGTGGAGATAATAGGACAAAGATTTAATAGGCGAAACACGTGTACAACAGATTTTTAATATAGAATTTAATTTTAATCCCATAGATAAACCAGCGAATGGTAAACCTAGTGGATCAAAACGAGATCCGTAGCATATTCTGTATGAAACAGGTGCAACCTCGTGAAGGTTAATGCGAAACGGTCTTGAATCAATTCAGAGGCTATGTTTTGCGCTTGAATTGATACCTGGTTATCATCTTCGAGAGAAGTGATATACCTTTTGCACCTGGGGATGCGGCCACGTGGAAGCCGCTGCTCTCACTCACAGCAAATGAGAGCAAACGCGCGACCGCACACCCGGAGGAATCAAAAAGAAAATAGGGAAATTTAGGATA